GGATTAAAACCAGAAATTGAACGGAGAATCTCTAAAAATTTAAACTTTCAGGAAACTATATTCGAGGCTTTAGAAATAGAAAGNGAACTTTGCGCAATGGCAGATCTACGGCAGGAAAAACATCATATTATACGCGAGAATAAACCTCAATCTTGTCAAATATGTTTCGAAGAAAATCATTTGGCTATAAATTGTAAGAATGCTAATCAAAATCATAATAAATTTTACTCGCGGTCCGAACTAATATGCCAAATCTGTAGGAGGTTAGGACATAGTGCCGATAAATGTCAACGTCACAATTCATTATTTTATCAGTCTATAAACGCACAAGAAGAGTCTAATATTTGTCAGTTATGTAAGAAATTTGGTCATAGTATTATAACATGTCAATTAAACAATAATAGAAATTTTCTCCTAAATAATTGCATAATTTGTCAATGGTGTGACAAGCCAGGGCATGTAGCTAACGACTGTTGGAAAAAACAAGCTAAAGAGCGTAGTTCTGAATTAAATCAAATTATTTGCCAAATTTGCAACACTTACGGTCACATTGCCAAAAACTGCCGAGTAGATGAAATTCAATCCAGAAATAGCTTTCTTTGCCGTAAAAGAACGGACCATTTAATAATTAAAGATTGTCAGTTGCGTATCGCTAACAACGATCGTAGAGCAGTGAATAATCAAAGTAATGAGACGTCGCGTATGCATCTCTCTCACTCAAACTTCGTACCCATAACTAGCAACAAATCAGATATTCAGACTTATAAACATGAATCGAATTTACATCTTGACATACCTAATCGCGAGCATATTAAACAAAGGAGAATCGAAAAGGAAAAAACAGTTCCTGCAACTACTATGTTAAACACGTCTGAGCCAAAATTAATTAAGGAAAATCTCGCATCTACTGATACTAGCGTTAAGAATTCAAAAATCTTTTTAAATTTACACGACAACAAGAATTGTCAAAACATTAATATTAATGAAAATATTGAAAGAAGAATCAAAACTAAGAAACGAACATCTCAAGTAAAAAATGAAAAAAAAATAAAAAAGAGTAATTTCAAGATCTGTGAGGAAAATGATTATCAAATCCTCACTAAAGTAATAAACAATCCTCAGGAAGAGGAAAAATATCAAATTACTCCTAAATTAATGAAAATATCTTCTGAAGTTCTTGTTAAAAAACCTCTCTCTAAAAACTTAAANAATTCCCGAATCTTTAACAGAAGTTTCCAAACTTCTCTAAAAAATCCTTCAATTCTTCCTGGAAGAGTAAATTACCAAACTCTTTCAAAAATCCCTGGAGAGGGAAGTATCC